ATTTATTAATATTTTACCCAGCAGTCACCGAAGCCTCATACGTCAGAAAGCTCGATCCTGAAATGTCAGGCTGATGGGTATCTTGGTGCAGTGACATCCTTTCCTGTCTATGTCCACAGCACAGAAAATAAAGGAGAGGCAGCTTCCGGGCTGCAAACTCAACCTGACCACTTATTTTGTTGGGTTTGTTTTCTTAACAGGATAGAGTGGGCGTCAGAGCCTTCTGCATTCATTCTCAGTTTACGCTTCCTTTTCCTTTTGTCTTCATTTTCACAAATGGATATATGGCAAAGACTGGCCTGGCATCTTAGACTTTTCTCAGAAACTCGAACTAACCTGAGATACCACAGCCACTCCATCAGCCTCTAGGAGTTTGCTTTAAAACTCCCTGCAGATATGGTAGTGCTCTCGGGCCTTAGATTAGTGATGCCCACATTCGACTGCTAATCACAGTTTCTGGGGAACTTTAAAAAAATATAGATTAGTGGGAGTCACCGCCAGATACTCCAACTCCATAGAGAATCTGTGTTTATTATTGCTCAGAGAGGGTTTATCTCTGCAAAGGTGTCCACTGTGGAGACTGAATTTCTGACTGTGGAATACCAAGTCCCTCCCAGAAAGTCAGTCATTTACTTCATGTGAGGAAAACCTCTTCCTTCCTTCCCTTTCTCTATTTTTTCTTTATAAATATATGTTTATAAAATACAAGTGATATATGAAAAAGAAAACAGAGAAGTAACTGTAGGTGTTTCACAAACATTTGCCTGCATCCACCCAATAGCCTTTTGAGATAATCAAGATAGAGATAAGGAGACAGATAAAAAAACAGGGTCAGAGGGCCCAGTAACTTCCAGCACTGCACAGCTGACCATCGGCTAGGTGAGGGTTCAAGCCCAGGCCCGTGCGACTACAAAAGCCTCGCTCCTTCTGCTCCAGTAAATGGCCTCAGTTATGAAGAAATTGTGAAATTTTTTTTGTTTGTTTAAAAATGCTACGGCTATTAGCATTTTTTCTTTTACTTTTTCTTTCTTACCTTTCTTCTGTTTGTGACCTTTTACGTATTATGTATGCTATTTATAATCAATTCTCTTAATGGCCAGTGTGTCATCATCTCATGTTATTACATAATCATTGTAAGCATCCTTTCTGTCATGTGACTATTACGCATATGTCAGTAGGTTAGTTCAACACTCCCCAGTTGTTGGAATTTACGTAAATTTCAGGTGCCCCCTTTAAAAGCCAGTGTATCGAGATGGAGTTTGCTGCAATGAGCTGCACATGTCCAGGGCTGCAGGGGGTTCGGGTGTGCCCCTGTGCGGATCTCTCACACTGCACGTTCTCTTGGGAGGCACTGCAGGGCCCTGTAGGCCTACTGCGGAACCTTCTACGACGCATGCTCAGAGCAGACGGTGTGCAGAGCCTCCTGTCACTCGGTGGCCGTGCTGGGAGCAGAGCTGACGCTAGTGCCAGGTAGGCCAGTCGTGCTGGTGCTGTGGACTGAGCGTCTGTGTCCCCCCAAACTCACATGTAGAAGCCCAGTTCCCAGTGTGACGGGGTCTGGAGGTGGGACCTTCGGGGAATACGCAGTTTAGATGAAGCTATGAAGGTGGGGCCTCTGATGTGAAGAGCGACCTTATCAGAAGAGGAAGAGACACCAGAGCTCGCTGTTCTCTGCCATGTGACGACACAGCGAAAAGGTGGCCGTCTGCAAACCAGGAAGAGGGTCCCCACCAGGAACTGAATCTGCCAGCAACTCGGTGTTGGACTTCCAGCCTCCAGAACTGTGGGGAATGCATCTGTGGGTTTAGCCCGCCGCGTGTGGTCTCTGCTACGGCAGCCTGACCTTGCTGCTACAAGCAGAGACTGAGAAAAGCAGACGGCTATTTATGAAGTGTATCAATCAGTATCCTGGCAGAAAACAGATGGCACAGATGGTACGTCAGCAAGAGCTAACCGACAGAGTTAATGAAGAGACTATTCACAGCGCTACAGAAAGTGTTAAGGCAACCAACAACCGTGGTGATGACCCCTTGGCCTGAAGCGGGTTTTGCCAGGACCGCATCCATGGCGGAAGGTTTGCTCTACAGGGCTTGGCGGAAAGTCCACAAACATGGCTCAGCCATGCCCAGCAGAGAGGGATGGGGCGTAAGGACCCTACTCTCCTCCCTTCTATGCCTTTGTTGGCTGCATTCATTAAGGAGACCAAGACCAGACGCCACTGTCCGTGGAGATGAGCGTCTCCGGGCACAGATGAGAAGCGGCAGAAAGCGGATTTGGGAGGACCTGAAGATAGTCCCACCACTTAGCTGGTAATTCCCCCATACTTCTGGGTGGAGAAACGCGCATACACAGCACAGGGGGCTCATTTCCCATCAGCCATTCCGCATAAAATGGTATCAGTTTAATCATACTTCCCCCAAGCACCGAAATGACACATTATCCATCTCCAGAGCCCTTCACATAAAGTAGCGGGGAAGAAGGCGTGGGGGAGGAAGGAAAGGCTAAACACACCACAGATGCTGCGGGGCCTCCTGACTTTACAGGGCCTACAGTCAGCCTCCCGGCCTCCTTCTCTCACCAGACACACTCCGCTAGCAGGCCGGCTCACAAACTTTCGTTTGCTTGTTTGTTTGTTTGTTTGTTTGGCCTAAATCCTACCAATGCAGGACGCAAACCCTCAGTACCCTGCATATATCGAGTTCCTATTATTTCCCGTTGACTGTTACAATGGGACTCGAGAGCAGCAGGTGGCAACTCAGTGAATACTCAGGTTTCAGAGACAATCTTCCGGACTTCACAGTGCGAAATCAACCCAATTTTTCCTCAGTAACTGAAGTCAGCCACACTGAGCCATGCCGCAACCTCCGTCTCTGCCCTTGGACCAGCGAGATGAGCAGTCCATAATGGCTAGGGGCAGCCTTAGCTCCTAATGCAACAGGCCCAGGCAGTGCCCCCAGAAGCATCCCTCCATTGGACACTAGGTCTCCAGACCCAGCAAGCCCAAGATCCAGAGATGAGAAGCAGAAGTCTTGAAAGTGGGTTTCAGGTGTGAGGCTGAGGCAGGGTTCCTGCATCTGCCCTTAGGCTCCTGGACCCACAGGGTTTTGCTGTTGGGAAGAGAATATCCTACACTGGCCACCGGGTTAAGGTGTGTACAATGCCTCATAGGGCAGTACGCTGACCTGGCGGGGTACTGTCTCCTGATTAGTGGCATGACTGAGCTTTCATCATACTTACCAAAGCTTCATGCCAGCTGCTTCTGAGCTATGGGGAGGCCACTGAACCCACTGCCAAAGTCCCTTAGTATGAGACAATGGTCCTGTGATAGTCGGTCAATGAGATGGACCTTCTGCACGTCCACAAGTGAGGACGTCAGCACACATTTCATGGGTAGGGTTGGTGACAAGTATTTAGAGCGTCTGTGAGGACACACCACTGCCTCTCCGCGATGAAACAGTTCATATAATCAATATTCAAGATGTGGCTGAGTCTCTCCTCTGAGAAGCAGCATCACGTGAAGCATTCGACCTTGGCTCCCTGTGTTGGCAGATGGGACACTCAGATGTGGCCAGGGCCAGATCGGCCCAGGGCAAAGGAGCCCAGGTTGTTGGCCTTGCCTACGATCCCACCGCTGCTGGCAGGGCTGCTTGTGCGACGTGCCCTGGGCAAGTGTGGAGCCGCTGTGGGGAAGGGTGCACGATCTACATAGCAGGCAGCTTTGTCCGCTGCAGGTACGTGAAATCGCTTCATTCCCTGTGGTCACCGTGAAAGGTACGTCCCGAGGCCTCCCAGTCACCAGTCTTCCAAGTAGCCACTGTCTGATAATCATATCTGAAGAGCAGGCTGTCTGCCCTTCCATGAATCAGGAAGCCCTAGAGTTTGTGTGCACAAACCTCCTGGACCATTGCGAGGAGGCTGGGGTACAGCAGCCAGTAGCTCTTGTCTGGTGTAGACGTACTGTAACAACTGACCTGTGGGCCAGACCCATGCTTTCTCCTCCTCTGTCAGCTCATTATAAGGAACTCCAAATGGGGCTTTCTCACCTGTGCCGAGAGAGGGGAACAGAGCTACAGGCGCCAGCATGTGGGACGGGATCCCGGGTGAGTTGCTTGTGCCCGGTGCACCTGCTCAGGCCGGTCTTGTGTATACCCTTTCCACGTTATAATGAAATGCTACCTTGCATATTTAGAATCAAGTTTATGATCCACAACTTTGGTTATACCCCAGTCTCAACAAGTTGTGTACCCCAGCTGCTGGTATTCCATGGTCAAAAATTCAGTCTCCACAGGGCCTAGGAGCAAACCGGGGGGGGTGGGGGGGGTGGT